GCTCCTTGGAGGCCAAGATGGCTAAACTCCGTCTCTCATACTTCGGACATATCGTCAGGAGGGATGAGTCGCTAAAGAAGGATATGTTTGGTAAGGTGGAGGGTCAGAGAAAAAGAGGAAGACCCCCAGTGAGATGGATTGACCAAGTGGCAGCATCAATGGACTCAAGTGTGGCAACAGTAGTGAGGTTGGCCCAGATTGGGCGGTATTTCGTTCTGCTGTGCATAGGGTCACTATGAGTCGGTACTGACTTGATGGCATCTAACAACAACAACAACCTCATGAGGTGATGCACTAAAATCCCACCACAAATGTATCACCTAAATCTAATCATGGGGAAACATCTAACAAATCCAACTGAGGGGTATTCTAGCTAAGAGCTAGCCCCTATGCTTCAAATACATCAATGTCCACACCCATGTTCTATTCACAATAGCAAAAAGAAGGAGACAGCCTAAATGACCATCAATGGAAGAGTAAATAAACTTTGGTACATATACAACCGACTACTACACAACACTGAAAAATAATGATGAATCTGTGAAACACTTCATAACATGGATGAACCTGGAGGACATTATGCTGAGTGATATTATTGCTGTTGTTGTTAAGTGCCATCAAATCGGTCCTAACTCATAGCGACCTAGTATAGGGTTTCTGAGGAGCGGGTGGTGGGTTTGAACAGCCAACCTTGTGGCTCAAACTGACCTTGAAGTCCAGCTCATTATCCCGCAGCACCATACCAGTGAAATTAATCAACAACAAAAGGACAAATACTGTATGAGACTATTACTGTAAAAAGTTAAGAAAAGGCTTTCATGCTACAAGAAATACTCTTTGATATTTACCAGTGGTGGGAAAGAAGGGGGAGTAATTCACTGGCTACAGGGTAAACATATATTGACTCAGGTGAATGGGAAGGCAACATTACAAGTGGAATGTTGGTAGAAAAATGATGAAGACATAAAGACACAGGGAAGAATGCAAGGGTTACAGTGGATAAAGGTAAAAACAGTTACATATACAACCCTGCAACAACAGCGGTCTACAGATAGATACATGGGACAGAACCCCAGCCTGAATGGGGATGGGACGTAGAGTGAAAGCATACCCACAAGTATATAAGGGTTTGTCACCTATGAATGTGGTGCATGTTGTCAAGTGTCATCCTGTCAGTTCAGACTCATAGTAACCATGCACAGGGTTTCCAAGGCAGCTGGCAAGTGTGAACCACCGGCCTTGTGGTTAACAGTCCAGTGCTTATCTTATAATGCCATGCAAAATGATGAAAACTTCTTAGAAGTTACCAAATACCTTGAGGCCATGAGTTGATGATGGTCCTGGAGGCTCAGGACGATAGTCTCATGGGACACCCTGATCAATCAGCACAACATAGTCCATAAAGACAATGTTCTGCAACCTACTTTGGTGAGTAGTAATGGGATTATAAAAGTTCATGAGCAACCATCTAAGTGCAACTACTCCATGTGTAGTGGAAAGAAGAGTGATAAAAACTGAAGACCCTTGGAGTCAATTTGTCTAAAGGACTAATAGACCATGTGAATCAGTCTCCAGGACTCTGAGAGCAGAAGAACTAGAGGGTGCCCAGCTATCACTACCAACTGCTCTGAAAGGGATCCCATCAGAAGGTCCCAGAGTAGAGTCAAAGAAAATACGGAACAAAACTCAAAATTATTAAAAAAAAACAAAACAAAAAAAAACAACAGGCCTACTGCTCAGAAAGAATCTAGAGGAACCTAAGACTATGGCCCTCAGCCACCCTTCAGGTCTGGAATGGGATGCACCCTCTTGGTTCAATTTTCAACCAAGCAGTAAATAGAACTATAGGGGGACAATCTGGTGTAGTGCTGTGGGTTAATGCGCTGGACTGCAAAGTCAGTTTGAATCGCAAGATCAGCAGTTCAAGCTCACCAGATATTCTTGGGAAACCCTATACAGGGTCACTATGAGTCAGAACCAACTCGATGGCACTTAACAACAACACTAGTAAAGTATGCTCACCACGTAATGGTCAACAATTCAAGTCCAAAGGGCAACATTACCTAAGGACAAAGTTCAGAAGGGTTGGGAAGGAGAGTGGAATGGAAGTAAGAACCACAGGGAGAAGGGGGGTAACAGTTGTTGCATGGAGAAGATTACAATCATTGCGATGAAACAAAGTGTATGATTTATTGAATGTAAAACTGATGATCTGCTCAGAAATCTTGACTCAATTCACAATAAAAAGTAAAAAAAAAAAAAAAATCAATGTCATAAAAGATACAGATTGAGGAACTATTTCAAATTACAAAATAGTAAAGAAATTGTAGAGCTGTGGTGTAATGCTGTAGGATTAGCAAGGTCAGCAGTTCAAACCCACCAGCAGCTCTTGGAAACTCTATTCAGGGTTGCTATGAGTCGGAATCAACTCAACAATAACAAAGAAATAAGGAGTCTTTATAAATCATCAGACAGTATCTTTGATATTCCATGCACGTAAAGTTTTACTGAAGGTAATACAGAAATGGCTACAAGCATACATTGACAGAGAACTTCCAGAGGTTCAAGCCGGATTCAGAAGAGGACATGGAATGAGGACTATCATTGCTGATGTCCAATGGATCTTGGCTGAAAGCAGAGAAT